GTATAGAAATTGTATAGAATTGGATAAAAAAAATAGGAAAAAGAATAAAGAAAAACGTACCAAACCAGACAAATTGATAAGATGTGGGCAGAAGTGTGTGCAGCAGCGGACTACATACAAAGCATACAAACTGCAATTTGTGTCTTACCTTTATTCTGCGGTGGTGTTCTCCGCATCTCACAGGGGGCTCCACTGTCCTCAACAACGTGCGGTGCAGCGGTCGGCGCACTTCCGCTCGTGCGTTGCTGCTGCTGCTGCTGTTGTTGTTGGAGCTGGGAATGGTGACAAACCTCTTGTTCCTGTTGTTCCTGCTGCTCTTCTTCTCGTTGTTCGTTCGACGGCGCTGTTGCGCTCGCTTCGGCCGGGGAGCGTGGACTATCGGACGCAGCTGTCGCACTCTCATCGGGCGAACTCACACCTGTAATTTCTACGTTCGCAAAGAAACCAAGAGAAATTAAAATATTTCATACTTCCGTAAGAATGGTTTGAGCAATGATAAAAGTACAACTCACAAAATAGAAAAAATGGAGTTTGAAATACTTTGATAAAAAACGTTTTCGCATTGGTCGATATTTCGAGGGACTTAAGTAATTAATTCCATTTATAAGGGCTTAGTTTATTTGGAACACTTTTCTTAATAGCACCAGTCTAAATCGCCTACACCGTTTCGTTGATACAGTCTTGCGAGAACACACACGTGATTAAGCGGTAAGTTATTGGCCAAAATCGACTTCGTTTGCGAATATAGGGGTTCCGCCGAGAGTTTCGATTCCGTAAGTTCCGGCAAGGGTTTCGATGCACCGAAACGTGATGGACGGGGTTATCATCGTTTCCGGTGTCCCATAAAAGCTCGATATTAATGGCAGCACTAAGTCTTTTCGAGTCTCACAATTTTTCTCAAAAATTGTATCGAGGTATTCGATTCTTGTTTTTTTTTTATTTCGCTTTTTTCACCCTGTTTGTTCGTCGGGATAAACAGGCTCCTTTGGTTTCCCCTTTTTTTTCTCTAATTGTCACGCCGGTTTTGACTATTCAAAGCGGGTTAAGGTGACATCTAGCGGTCCGCCGGGGGATAGCTCGTATGCGTACGCGCTCGACGTGCACGCGAACACGGCCCCTCGCGAACTGGAGGCCATGTTGCGTCGCTACGTGCGACGATTGGCTCCGTCTTTCCCCGAGTCTCCCCCACCACCGAAAAAGCCGTCGACGATCTTTTCTACCAATTGGGAACGAGTGAGTACCGTCGACGACGCTTCGATCCTGCGCTTTACGTGACGCAGAGACGCACTGCATTTCGTTTGTGTGCAACGAGAATACAATTATAGGAAATACGGTAGCAGAACCGTTCGTAATTGCCAGGCTTGAGGCTATTAGATGTCACTCGAAAAATTATCAGGGACAATGTGGGATTTCGTAATTCGATTGGAGGGTGGTAATAAATGAAATGAGTTTATGTTGGATTTTATTTTTAGTTCAGTTTAGACGTTTATACTTCTAGGGCCTAGGGCTACTTTCACCAAGTTAACGTAAGAGCACGCGTAAGAGTAACTTAATCAACGATTGAAGTGCTGCCAACAGAAAAATGTTAACTAAAGTTTTACCAGGATCCAATTAATGCAAACTAAGTTTTAAATCTATTTGTAAGAAATGTATTATTTAGAATATTTTACTAAGCTTCGACAAACTTAATCGATGATTATACGAGAGATAATATTACGAGACATATGATTGCGAGCAACTTTCCCTTATATGTGTTTAATGAATATTAATCTCCAATAATTAATAAATCTCTGATATATTTGTTCATTTTAACAAAATATTTCGTCGATCAACGACTGGTTTCGCAAATTGATGAATCGGCAGTGTAATAAATCAAGATAGCCGTTCGCGTCTCCGAAAAGCGTGATGGATTCGGCAAGAAGGAAAACAAGCCCTCCAGGAACGTCAGATACTTAAAACAAGCGATAGCGACTCGACGCGACGTGGCGGTCGACGCATTCATGAGGCGACGAGATACGAGCGAATTGGATATAAGATGAAAGGAAACAGGAAGCGGGGAACAAAGACAAGTGTTGACTTGTTAGAAAAGTGAAAACGGGATACGGTAGAAGAGACTGGTGGCATAGGACGGGAGAAGGACCTAGTCAGTCATGTGGCTTACTGACGAACGCGAAAAGGGACGAGACATGCTTTCTGAGTATTTACGCACATGATAGGTTTATCTTAAAGTGGATATACTAACGTGATTCCCGCGATTGTCTTTGTTTACCCAATTCTTGTATGGTGATAAGTCAACAGGTTTTTGACTTGTGTCACACTAGAAATGCATGTGCAATATACTCATACTAATAGCCAACTATTTCTCACGATTCAATAAAATCGCTAACTGGATTGTTGAATTATTAATTGTTGGATACAAACAATAAAGGAGAACTTGACTGTAATGAACTTCTTATATACTCATAGAAAATATCGTTTCGCTCTTGTAAATCGTCTTGTAATTTCACATTCGTCTATGCTAAACGTGAGTTTGACTTGAGAACGATTACTACCTTGACTGACAAACAAAATACTCCTTTCAATTAAACAATTTCTTATATTTTCATATTTTATGTCCTTCGAAATATCGCAGTCTATTTTATTAGCCTGTATCTTTGAAATGTCGCAGCCAAATACCAGCGAATGCATCGATCACCCTGATCCGGGTATCACAGCCTATTGAAAACTTTATGCGTTACCTAAATTTGGGCAATATGGCAAAGTGTTACTGCGTTGTTAACGATCAGCTTGAGATATCTTAAAATCTGTAGTCCACTTTAAGGATATTCTGTGTTTCGTTTAAATTCAGGGGAATGATTTGGAAAATTTTTAGCGAAGTCATTAAAGAACTCAGGCTGTCTCCTGGATTCTTGCACGTAAACATGCTTTTCTGCGTTTCAAGGGCCTCCTGAACAGCAGAGTAGAGACGAGGGTGATGTGACGATTTTTGAAGGATTGTGCGAAAGAATGGCACTCGCAAATTTCGCAAATCATCCATGCAAACAGTAACGAGTTAAATAAATAAATTGCCAGAAAGAAAAATGTTATTCTTGTATATACAGAGTGTCCATTGAGTAAATTTGAAACCGCTGTCGTGATAAACAAACTCGTTAGTTGTGAGTCTACAAGTGGTCTATCTGCTTTAAAGACATGGGCGACGCCCGATTGTATGTATGGATGTATTTAGTATTTACAGCCTTGTTTCCTCGACACTACGAAAGCTTGGTTTAATTGCATTACACTTGTATCTAACTATCTAATAAAACTGTATTAAATATCTTCTTTCCTTTTAGTATATATATTTATTGAAAAACAGGGTCCAACCTACGTATATCTTTTTCTGCATTTATTCCTTAGATAAAACATAATAAAGTAGAAGCTCCATTTTGTGAATTAATTGACAATTTGTAAATTTTATGAATTTCTCTTAAGGATGTATTGGCCATACAGTCAATCCCAAAAGTTTATGTACCTTAGAAAAACGCATTTCCGTGCTAAAAAGTATAAAAGGAAATATCCAATTAAGTATTGACACTGACGAANTGTTCTTCCGACGTCTGATTTCTTTTTAAAAAATGCGTTTCTAAAGTGCGTAATCTTTTGGAATTGACTGTATAGCCAATACATCCTTAATATGAACAATCGATGGATCGATTTGAAAAAATTCTTATACTACTCGTTTAGAAGT